GCAGTTGGTGGGCCAATGTAGTTTTAGGTTGATCGGATAACAGGGAAATGATTGTTCTGACTTTGATAGTGTAGTTACATGATTTAGAAAAAACATCAGTTCACAGTCTGCTTCTGCTCTAGTACAGTGGCTTAACTGCATCCTAGGATGCCTTTGCTTGCATGGGTGCAAATTAGGTATCTAAGAGGATCAGACAAAAGTGAGATCAGACGGTGCAAGGTCAGGGCAGGCAGCAAATATTCATAAATGGATAAACTTAGCCTAGTCCAATATCCAGGAAGTCCAATAATGCTTGAAGTAGGTAAGGATCATGTTGCAGGTGAGCGTTTCCACTGCAAGTTGGACCCCCAGGGCTCATGCAGGGTTTAGACCAAATGCCTAATATGTCATTTGTCATAAGCATTGACGTTTTCCTGTCCACCAATCAATGGATTGTATAGTGTGATGCCAGTACCTCTGCCCTAACCGTACCATACCATTTCCTATGGACCTACATCTGAAGGGGGCCCAAGAATGGTATGGTTTGGTTCGGTTGTATGGGCCACTTTCATAATGGAAACACTCAAAATAGCATACCAGACCGTACCGACCCGAACCGTACCGCTCAGTGGAAACGGAGCATTAGAGCTTTTAAACATAGAAACATAGTATGTGCAAGCAGATAAGAACCATTTGGCCCATCTAGTCTGCCCAATTTTCTAAATACTTTAATTAGTCTCTGGCCTTATCTTATAGCTAGGAGAGACTTATGCCTATTCCTTATGCTTAAACTGTGTTAACCTCTACCACTTCAGCTGGAAGGCTATTCCATGCATCCACTACCCTCTCTGCAAAGTAATACTACCTGAAATTATTTTTAAACCTTTGCCCCTCTAATTTAAGACTATGTCCTCTTGTGGTAGTTTTTCTTCTTTTAAATATAGTCTCCTCCTTTACTGTGTTGATTCCCTTTATGTATTTAAATGTTTCTATCAAATCCCTCCGTCTTGTCTTTTTCCTCCAAGCTATACATGTTAAGATCCCTTAACCTTACCCTGGTAAGTTTTTTTCCTGCAATCCATGAACCAGTTTAGTAGCCCTTCTCTGAACTCTTTCCAAAGTATCAATATCCTTCTGAAGATATGGTCTCCAATACTGCATACAATACTCCAAGTGAGGTCTCACCAGTGTTCTGTACAATGGCATGAGCACTCTCTTTCTACTCCTAATACTCAGGGCCTCTATCAGGGGGTGACACCCGTGACAGTTGGCCCGGGCCCCACGTGTAGCGGCGGAACTGCCGCCGGTGCAGCTGCAGCAGGGCCCGCACGCTGATAGGGCATTTAGAGACACCCAATGTGCCCTAAATCTTCAGGGGCCTGGTCAGTGCTGCGGACATGTAATAGCGCGACCGAGCCCCTTTAAAAATGCCAGCCGCACCACAAGCTGTCACTTCCTCCTAGCTTAATCCATGCGGGAGAGGAGGCAGAGTGGACACCGTGAGGAGGGGAGAGCCAGCCAACTCCCATCAGCCCCAGCCATCCTCCTGCACTGAAAAGGTAAGAAACAGGAGGGTGGCTGAAAAAGTAGATCTGTGGGTGTGAGTATGTTAGTATGTATGTGTATGCCAGTATTTAAGTATGTATGTGCATGTCAGTATTTAAGTATGTATGTTTGTCTGTCATATGTATGTCTGTCATATGTCTGTCTGTATGTCAGTATGTGTGTATCTATGTGTGTGTGTGTATCTGTGTCATTTTGTATCCGTGCGTGTGTTTGTGTCTGTGTGTGTATTCCTGTAGGCGGGATTAGGAGGTGGGCCCTGGGGGTGGGCTTTGAGGCAGGCCCCCAGCGGGGCCCAGACCTTGAGCTGTGTTAGGGGCCCCAAAATTTCTGATGGCGGCCCTGCTAATACCTCTCCCTATACAACCAAGCATCTCCTGCGGCTCTATTACATTGTCTGCCTACTTTTAAGTCATCTGAAATAATTACTCCTAAATCCCTTTCCTCAGATGTTGAGGTTAGCAGGGTATCAAATACTCTATACTCTGCCCTTAGGTTTTTAAGCCCAAGATGCATTATCTTGCACTTATCCCCATTAAATGTCAGTTGCCACAGCTCTGACCACTTTTCTAATTTACCTAAATCATTTGCCATTTGTCTTATCCCTCCTGGAACATCAAACCTGCTGAAAATTTGAGTATCATCAGCAAAAAGACATACCTTACCATCAAGATCTATCACTAATAAAAATATTCAAGAGAATGGGTCCGGGAACAGATCCACTGGTAACTAGACCTTGCTTCGAATACACTTCAATGATTACAACCATCTGTTACCTGTCATTCAGCCACTGCCTAACCCATTCAACAATATTGGAATCCAAACTTAAAGATTGCAGTTTATTTATAAGCCTTATATGTGGAACAGTGTCAAAAGCCTTACTGAAATCTAGGTAAGCAATGTCTACTGCACCACCCCGATCTTTTATTTTAGTTACCCAATCAAAAAAAATCAATAAGATTCGTTTGGCATGATCTCCCTTAAGTAATCCCATGTTGTCTCTGATCTTAAAATCCATGTGATTTCAGATGTTCAACAATCCTATCCTTTAACATGGTTTTCATCACTTTCCCCACTACTGAAGTAACGCTTACTGGCTAATAGTTGCCCGACTCCTCCCTACTGCCTTTCTTGTGAATGGGTACAACATTCACTGACTTCCAATCTTCTGGGACTACTCCTGTAGTCCAATGTACAATGATTGGTTAAACAAAGTAACAATGATTGGTTAAATAAATCTGTTAAGGGTTTTGCTAGTACACCACTAAGTTCTTTTAATAACTTTGGGTTTGTCCCTTTAAGCCCTATCGACTTTTTACAGTTGAAATAGAACCTCTTCCTCTGTAAACTCCGATGCAATAAATTACTCATTTGTCCTTTTTCCTAAGTGAAGTCCCTTTCCTTCATTTCATCTGTAAATACTGAACAAAAATATTCATTGAGGCAGTCAGACCTTTATCCTCTTCTACATACCTTCCTTATTTTGTTTTTAATATAACTAATCCTTGTTTTACTTTCCTTTTCTCATTTATGTATCTAAAAAATGTTGTATTCCCCCCCCCATTTTTTTTCTTACCAACTGTGCTATTCTCTCTTCTGTGTGTACTTGGAGGCTCTTATAACTTGCTATGCCTCTTTCTGCCTAATCTTATAGATCTGTCTGTCTTCCTCATTCTGTTTTTTTTTTTTTTTTAATTACTAAATGCTAACGTTTAGTTTTTTACTATTTTGGCCACATCTGCGGATTACCACAGTGGTTTCTTAATTGTTCTGCTCTTACTGACAAGCCTAATGGAATTTTCTGTTGCCTTCAGTAGTGCAACTTGTAAATAATCCCATTTCTTCTGTACTCCATTTAAACTGCTCCAGTCTGATAAGGACTCCTTTACCCATATTCTAATTTTAGAAAAGTCTGTTTTTCTAAAATCTAAAACTTTTGTTTTCGTGTTGAGTGACTCAATTAATTTTCTTATATTAAACCACACTTACTGATGATCACTAGATCCAAAACTTTTACTTACAGTAATATCTGATACTAAATCTCGATTTGTTAACACTAAATCTAGCATTGCCTCCTTACGGGTTGGCTTTTCAATGACTTGTTTTAGAGATAATCACAGTAGGGAGTTTTGAATATGTGTTCCTGGCACAAGCAGCTGTTTTGGTTTTTCAGTTCACATCAGGAAGATTAAAGTCACCCATGATAACTTCCCACTTCAATGTCATTTTAGCTATTTCCTCAACTAGTAGATTATTTAACTCTTCTGTTTGTCCAGTGGGCCTGTAAATCACACCTACACGAATTACTGTGTGATTACCAAATTCTAACGTAATCCAAACGGACTCTATGCTCGCCTCACTAACTTTTATTAGGCTAGATTTTATGCTATCCTTCACATATCGGGCCACCCCACCCCCTTCCTTACCTTCTCTGTCTTTTCTATATAAAGAGTACCCTGGTATTGCAATATCCCAGTCACTTTTCTTATTATACCATGTCTCAGTAACAGCCACTAAATCTACATTCTCAGTTGCCATTATTGCCACACGTTCATGGATCTTTTTCCCTAAACTGTGAGCATTTGTAAACATGACTCTATGCTTATCATTTTTTAACACACTCGCTACAGTTACTATTTACTTTAGTAGGGCTTTCATGTTGACAAGGAGGTGGAGTGTCACCTGACTCCATAAGTGATGGCAGGTATAACAGCTACATCTTAGCACACAGTTGCAGCTGAGACTGATGCCAGAACAATAACCCTGAAAGCGTGGACATACACTGCATGGTGTTGCGTGCACCAAGGATGAGGCTGGTGGTGAGGAGCAGGTTATGGACTTTTCCCCAGGCCCTTGTGATAGTGTGATGGGATTTACATACAGAGAAAGAATACTGTGATTAAAGAAACACGGAGCTGTTAATGAAGATTATTCAAGTGCAAATTTAGATTCTAATTATCATAGGTGATGGAAAAACACTTTAGTAACAAATTAGTTATTGTTTTTGTATAAATGAGTGCTCTGCTGCAATTTGCTTTCACATTACAGCTGCTTATAAAGTATTTTCAGCAAAATGTGATTTTAGTTTGAGGATTTTTTTGTTTTGTTTTTTAAAGTAACACACCAAGTATAGAGTGCAATTTGACAATTTACTTCTGTGCTGTTTTCTGGCACTGGATTCATTCACTGCATCTGGTTTACTCTAGCAGGATAAGTCAAATGACTCTCTAGAATCAATGCAGAACTGTATTCATTGGTTAAGAATGATGATTTCAAGCAATGAGCACTATTGTGTACAACTATGCTTTGCTCTATAAGTCAATCTGGATTCCTCTTCTGAAGAAGACAAGCACTCAGGTAAGTTATCAAACGTTACTAGATTACTTTGACATCATACTGTGAAACAGCACCAGTGCCCCTACCGACTATAGTGGTTATGGTGCTTGGAATTTTTAGTTATCGAAACAGGTGAAACAATTGCAGTTTTTTGTTCCTTTCTCAATATTATGCCCAAAAAACTGCAATTGTTTCACCTGTTTCGATCACTATAAATACAAGTATGTGTGAGTTGTTTATTGGTGTGCTGTGCAGTTGATGGGAGACAAATGAGACCACTCCATCTCTCAGTGGCTGCACATACAAACCATTCTCTACATTTTGTAATTCTTGTTCTTAATTTATGGTTCTTAACGCAGGTTCCATGATTATTATCAGAATGCTATATCAGTGGGTTCCCAATTGTTGAAGCAGGCATATCATCAATTGCCTACAATAAAATATTTTCGGAAATAGCACTGCGTTTCTGATGAGTGGAGATCTTTTTGGTGGTAGAAAAATCCTAATTTAGATGTTCTTTAAAATGTATTTTAATGTTAATTAAATGACACTTGAAGAACAGGTCACTGAGATGATTTTCCAGTTAAATAATGGATTGCCAGGCTCATGCTATATGTACATAATTTGGGTCCTTGAGAAAAAAGAAAAGTTAAGAACCACTTCTAGAAGCCCTTTCAATTAATGATGGTTTAAAGTTATTTTTGTTATTTTTTACATACAATTAAAAGGAATATATATTTTTTACATTTGGTTACTAATTATTATTAAAACATGTTGATAGCATTACTCAGTTTCAGTAAAGTTAGAATATTTGAGCAATTTCTCAAAACAATTTGATTGGAAGTTGTATTTCTCTTAATCAAAATAATTGTCGCCCAGTTTCAGTAATGGATAGTAATCAAGCAATATAATAAACTATATAACTTCTTCTGTGCTTTTGAATAGGTTGGTGACCTGGGTAAATTAATCCACAAGATATTCAATTGCTGTTCATTAGCTTTGACAGGTTAACCATGTATGGTCTAGAACTTTTGTGGCAAACCCTGGTTTTATCCCACTATCTTTTTCATCGAAAGACTATCTCACCACCCCTGGCTCTTCTCCTGCTCCTCCCATGCTAAACGACGAGACCTCCTCTTATCATGGCTGGCCATTGAATCCAGAGTGCCGCTGCAAGGACTATACTGGGACTTGGCCACAATTTGGTGGAACACTGGCTCAGCTGCACCTACTCGCATTTCCCAGCCAACTTCTGCCTCCGGTTTTCCCAACTTCCCAACCAACCAGAAGAGCGATAATTGGACGGGAGGTACAATAGACTTAGAGGAACAATTTCTCCCTGAGAGCCAGGGGAATGCCCCTTGTTTGTCCGTAGGAGCTCCCGATATTTGACTGGCCAAAGAGACAATTGTTGTGAAATAATTTTTTGCATGGACCTTGATTAGTGGCCAGTCAAATCTTTACCCCAGTGCCAATTTGTCTGTTCTTCATGGATCCGAGCACAGTTTTGCCAAATTGGGCGCTCAGGTCAGAGCTACCAGGGAATATATAATGTGTTGGGGTTCCTGTTTGTTTTTATGTGTTTTTTGGGGTATTTTGTGTTGTGTTTTCTGTACCAAGAAGACAATTGGTTCAAGCGAGGGCTTACTCAATTATCTCCCACACAAAGAGGCACCAAGATGGGATCACTCTGTGTTGAAAACCGACCTCGTGCTGGGGGTCCGTGTATGAAAGAATATGCCTGTGACAACAAAAAACAGTTATACTCCCAGAATCATGTGTCATCTGATTAATGGGGGGGAAGAGCCATAATCGCTGAATAGCATTTCTTCCAGCTATGAGGGGAATTTAACAGAGATATTCAGTCAGAATATAGGAGCTCCGCTACAACTGTATTATGATATGATGTATAGTGCGTGAATAAGTGCGACTTTTGACATTCTGCAACATTAGTATATTACCTGCAGAATAATAGTCCATGATCTTTTCCACCACAAACTAAAAAGTGTGATTTAACTTGTCTTGAAATGTTCAAACATATGCTGTAGATTAGAACTGTGTTGCCTAGTTAGGATTTTGAGTGTACTTATCTATTGTGTGTGCATTCCATTTTATTCCATTTTAATGTGTGACAGAGTGACTAGCAATTCTATCCTATACAAAAGAGCATTGTGAGAGCTGAGGTTAGGTCTGTGTTTGTTGCAATGCTTATGATAAGTGTGTGTTAGAAACATATACATGATTTAAATCTTGATTTTTAGGTAAAGACTTATTCTTGCTGGTTGCTTTAATTTTAATATTTGTAGATGTGATATTTAGAATAATTACTTTTCTGATTAGCCTATATCAGAACTGATTTTGTTATATACTATTAGAATTACATAGATCATGATGGAAATATTGTACGGTGAACTATTTCCAGTTTAATAGGTTAATTGTTCATATTTGGAGAATTATTTCAATTGTTTTACTTAAAAGGACACTATAGTCACCATAACAACTACAGCTTATTGTATTTGTTCTGGTGTGTATAATCATTCCCTCTTGGTGTTTTTCAGTTTTGTTTAGAGAAAATGCAGTGTTTACATTAAAACCTAGGGATACCTCCACTGGCCACTCCTCAGATGGCTAATAGAGGTGTTTTCTGGGCCAGTGCTGCACAACACAATGTGCAGCACTGCCATTTAGTGTCACCACCCTCTGCATGGAGGTGCTGAACTTTCCTCATAGATATGCATTGATTCAATGCATCTCTATGAGAAGATGCGAATTGGCCAGGGCTGTGTTTGTCTTGTACTTACGCTGCTCCTGATCTGCCGCCTTGACATTCTCAGCCAATCAAATGCTCTCCTATGTAAAAGTATTGTGATTGGCTCATATCATTACTTCTGATGGTGTCAGTCAAGCAGGCAGATCGGGGCAGAGCCAGCCGATAGGATTATACTATTTTTAGGGAGGGGGAGCAGGGGGCTAGATGGTGTGTGTGTTCCTGACCCTATAGTGTTACTTTAACTAGAATAGCATTATATAGCATTTTCATGTATTTGTACACATGTACATTGTACACAATAATGTTTGTTAAATGAAGTGGTTAGACAAAAGTTCAAAAAACTATTTAGAGAGCAATATTAAATATTTCAGTATGTGCAGAGTTTCATTTTGAAAAATTGCACATACAGACTACAAACATCGTGACCACTTAAATTACAGAAGTGCATACCTGCCAACTTTGTGCCGTGAATCTGGGCTAGAAGATGGGCCTTCCAGGAGGAGTGGCCAGTGATGCAGCTCCACCCACTGAAGGGGAGTGTGAGCTTGGTTCCAAGCCTGCCAGGCTCACAACAGCATCCCAGATAGCCCACACATAGAAGACCATGCAAAACCCTTTCTTCGGGGACATAGTCCTAGTACTCACTGCAGAGGGCAAGTGAGTCTAATCATGCACTCGTGCTGTGCTGCCTGAGGACAGTTATCCTCCACATCTGGGGACAACAGGGAACAAAGTCAGGACAACGGGCAGAATCCTGTAATCAGTGCTTAGAGTAACCCTTTAAATTAAGCTGTTCATTGTGTAAATGTGTAGAACAAAATGATTCATGTCTTTTTCTGACCTTGTATGTTCATTTTCATAACATTTTTGCTGTGAAAATGTTGCTGTTATCTCTGCAGACACAAGTTCGGTTAACTTGGATTAATAGAATTTATTTAGCAAAAATTTAAATATTTATACAGCCTCATGCCACGTAGCTAATCCATATTTCATACTGAATAACCTTTGGACTATACTACTGAAATCAAATTTAAATGTCAAACAATCTGATTTAAAATAATTTAATTTATTTTAAAAATCACCAATTTTTATCCAAACTGGTGATGATTGACGTTCACCTCCTTTTAATGATGGATGCAGACCATGTAAAAATGTTTAGGAATTTTTTTTAAACAAATGCCCAGTTTGTTTGGTTGTAGATCCCAGACTTGTTTAAGCTGATCTAATATGAATCATGATCTAACTGATGGATTTAGGCATTAGGCCTTTAGGATGCCTTAAAAGATAGGCCTGCATATTGTCATTGTCTGCATGTCTGTCAATGAGTAACAGCATCTGGAAGCGAGGTTGGATGTTTTTAAAGTTGTTATTGTATATATAGATTTATGGTGTTAAACTGAGCATGGCACCTAATTTGGTCAGAAGTTGACTACACAAGGTTAAGTGAGCAAATTTAAATTCTAGTGTCAAGTTTGGAGACACACCATCTTGAAATGTATAAGCTGCCACTGGGTTTAACATGCAAGTATCAAGTATTTCTCGTACTAAATAATTATCTCTAAAAAGCAGATATTCATGTGACTTTTTTCTAAACCAGGGATCCATGGAAAACCTACAGTCCCGGGACAGTTTGTCCCATGTGACAGCCCATTATACAAGTTTCTTCACAGTGATGACAAGCTATATCACCAACATGAGATAACCAAACAGAGTTACTGTCATAGGTGGTGTTATAGAAAAGTCGAACAATTAAGAATATGCCTTCATTGAATAAGTCTGTAGGGAGGAAGCATTCAATATATGGTAAATAAAATTATATTATTTGCATACATGACATGTTTCTCCAGTCTCTGGAGGTGGATGTGATCATATGATTAAGTTAATTAGTACAAAAAATCAATTTTACATAACATCTGGTAATAATGTTTAAAAGAATGTCGAATGGCCTTCCTTGGCACGTAGAAGTCATGCATCACAAGTAATAACAAACTGTGTTTCTTGCTACATTTGTTTTTCACAGTCCGTCTGTTGCTTTCCATAAATGACTACAGCAAATATATAATTATATGTTACATTGAAGTCATCGTAGTGGCACTCACTCACACACTGACAGACACACATACTCACATAATAAAACAGTGATTGTTAGCAGCTGTCGGCATTTGTTCATATAATAGCTGAAATATATAGGAATCAGTGGCGGCTTGACCTTATGTGCAGGTGGAGCAGTACCCCAGTTTTTGCTGCTTCTCAGTCCATAAAAATATCCCAAACAAATCTGTTTACATAGTAAGAACTTATAATAATTATGTAATATATAAAAGTATAAGTATGTATCTGCCGTCATTACAGCTGTAGTTTCTCCCCTGCTTTATTGATGGCTGGAGATCCTGCTGATAGTCCGGGCAACTAATTATGTTGAGATTTTGGTATTTTG